GATCTGGAGTACAGTCTCCTAATTTTCAGAAGGACACTGGATCCAGTAGCCCCACTTTTGTGCCTTCATGGGATAATCTAAATGAAGTAAGACACCAAGCAAAATATACACATCCAGAGGCAAATGTCAAGAGAGATGCAGCAGGGATATCCTGTCCGCAGGTCGTTTTCTTGTAGACTTGCTTATAGCATTAAAAAAGATTAGCCGTATCCAAGGTTCCTATTAAAACTACAGCTGTGTACCTTTTAATATTCTCATAGGACAGACACACTACCCTATTTGTTTGTGTTTGTGTATATATTTCTGTAGCATTAAATTTAACTGGTTTTGGGACTTACAGGGGAAACTTTAAAATTGGATCGTAAGTTAATGTAATCAATGATTTGGGTCATGTTTTCTTTCGATAGGCATTTGTCACTCAATTAGTTAAGTGGAGTCATTTCTCCATTTTTTTTAGTGCTATGTTAATTGGTGTGCGTACCTTAATTTTCTGCTTTTGTCCGTATGTATATGTGCATTATCCTATCTAATTAACATCATTTCTATTTGATAATCAGATTATGCTGCCCCTAGTTTTTCCATCACCTGACATTAGTTGCTTGTTTGCTTGTTTGCTTGTTCAGAGAACTGCATCCTTAGGAAATTTTGTCTCAGTGGATAGCTATTCCATGTCTCCCAAGTCATTTCATTCAGGCAGTCTAACAAATGCTGTCGAACCTGAACAAGCTACTGGAATCTTCCCAGATAAATCCACCTCTTTAACGGGATCATCTCATCTTGGAAGTAGTGATAGCTTGGACCTTTTCAAGGCCCCAGTTAAACCAGAAGTCTCTTCTGCAGCCTTTTCCATTGATTTGTTCCAGTTACCAGCAGCATCTTCGTCTCCATCCATAGATTTGTTTCAACCATCTTTATCGTCTTCCAACTCATGTATGAATATGGACCAGCCTCAATTTTTCCAACCTTCGTTGGAGTTATTTGCTGACTTTCCTCAGCAGCAGTCAACTCCAACCTTGGATAAACAAGTAGCCGAGGCTGCCCCTAAAAGTGAAGGATGGGCAACGTTTGATACGCCTCAGCCCTCAGCTTCCATTCCATCCACCGAAAATATGACCCTTGAAAATATAGCTTCCAATGGTGGAGGTTCTATTGGAAATTTTGAAGCATTCTCGTCATCAAACACAAGCATGCAATGGCCATCTTTTGAGCACTCTAGTAGTCATAGACCTTTTTCAGAAGTTTCTAGTCCATGGAGTGACAGTTTGTACAATGTCACAGATCCCAATACTGGAGGCATGCAGGTAAGCATCTTATGATCAAACTACCCCTGCACCAATTACTTATTTGGCTTTTCAGAAGAATGGTTTTTAATGGGTGGCTGGTTTCATAACTTCTAAGGCTGAGCTCCATGGAGAATGTAGACCTGATTTCTTTATTATAATGAATGAATATAAAGTTTACTTAACATAGTGGCATGCCTTAATATGAAGGAATGTAATCAGGTTGATATGTTATTTTTGAGTAGTCGTGGAATGCTTTTGAAGATTCTATTGGACACCTTCCATCGGAGGTGGCTGAAAAGGGCAGTGAACCAGGAGCAACTGACAAGCTTTCGTCAGCTGGTGACCATGATTTTGGATTAAGAATTTTCGAGGTTTCTGCATCAACCTTATATTTCTTTCAAATTGTTTATTTTCTTCCACTGATGGAATTCGCTTGCAGGAATCTAGTAAAGATGGGATTCAGGGAGCTGTTTCTCAAGGTGAACCCCATGATCCAAGTCTGACACTACATGCTGTGTTGGGGCAATCATATACTCCACAAGTGCTTCCTCAAATGGTTTTTACTCTTCTATTTCCTTCAGCATCTTTCCTGTGATTTGTTTAATGGAATCTGCTTAGTTGTATACTAATCTCTTTTGTCCCACGCCTAAAATTACAGGGAGAAATTAAGTCACATGCCACCGACCACAAATCAAATAACCCATTTGATCTTCCTTATGATACAGATCTGGATCAGAACAGTATGGTATGTTTTTGTTAGTTATTGCTTCAGGATTGCCGTTTTTCCTTTGTTCTTATAGTGAAATTGTGTTTCTATTATAGTGCATTGTTCCCTATTTCTATTAGCTTTATGTGAGTGTTTGTGTGTTTGCATGAGAATTTTGAATGCGGAAGCTGATTAAGGGCATGCGTGGAGTGATGCTATTATTTGTTTACCATCTGTCAACTGTTAGGGAAAACCGAGTCAAGGATAACCATAGCATGATGCTTGGTTGCTAGCAGAAATGAATTGTACTTCCTGTAAAAGTTGTGAATTGATAACTAAAGTCAATATTTGACATCAAAACTGTATTTTCTGTGAAAGAAGAGTTCTATTAGTGTAATAAATGCTGCAGACTACATATGCCTAAGATCCAGTCTCTGAAAATTAAATATGATACCATTCTAGTTAGTTGACCGCGTTCAGTTTTATTTAGACTAATTCATGGCTTAAAAGTGTGGCGGGATAAGAAACTTGTTGCATTTTTTATTCTCCCAGTAATGTAATGAATTTAAATCTCATGGGGAAGTCACAGTGGAAGTGGTGTGATTGATAGACTGGAATAAGTTGGTACTAATCAGTGTCTACCATATTATTCTTAGACTGTATCATGTTTCAATTAAATTAAAGGATTTGGAATGGGGTTTTCTAGCAGACGTATACAATTCTTAGATTTCTCGGTTCTAATTTTGTCTTGTGTTCTTTTTCAGTTTTTGGACATGAACTCCTTACAAGCCTCTCTCCCAAATGGTCATTTGCAATCCTCTTTCTTCGATGAGTCTCAGGCATGGTTTCCGCAAAATCCAGTGTCTGGGATGCCATATGTTCCAGCTGCAGCAGAAGGTAGGCTTTTCAGTGCCAGCAAAGCTACATTCTTTTCTCCTTTTTGTTTTGTTCCTGCAACTATTGCCAACCAGGGTTGATATTTTTTAATCCAGTGGCTGTTGGACGCATCATATTGGTTGCCACAGGAAACTGCAGGACCACTGAAATTTTTGGCCATAACAATCTTATCTTTTTCATTCGTTTCAATTTTGATTTGATGTAGGTGGCTTGACATATATGCCAGGGCAGGCACATAGTTCTCAGATTCCGTAAGTTTATGTTCTACTCTCTATTTTTTTAGCCTCTCCATTATCTTTTAAGACAAAGGTTTAATGTTGTAGACCCATGATAATTTCTCATATTTTTGTGTGGTTATCAACTTCATATGGTTAGAGGGTCATCAATCTATATCCAAAGCCGGATAATAACAAGGTTGACATCTTAAAGGAAAGCGGGTAATAACTAGGTGAGGAAGGACGAATTGATATTGATGAAAATGGACCTCTTAACACACGAGAAACTTAGGTAGGGCTGCCTACTACAACTAGGGCAGCTCACAGTGTGGGGTCATTGTGGATTCGAGTGGAACCAACCTACAAGGGTCCCGTGCTTTTGTGAGAGGTCCATTATGGGCTACAGATGACATGGTTGGGGTGTTCCTACAGAATTTTTCTCCTCTTACGGAGGTATCTGATTGAGTCTCAAAGGAATGCGCAAACGAGAATCATTTCTGTTTCATCTTTACATATAACCAGTTCTGACGGCTTTAAGGAACATGTTCGAACAGAGTTACTGAGTTCTAATTAAAACACCATGTTTAGAAATATATTGGATGAATACCCGATGTAAGCGTGTCACCACTTAGAGTTAGAGATTGCCTTACCAGATAAGTTGAATGTCCAGGAGGCTACAGTATGACGATGCCTTGTAGAGTTTAGAAACTCAACTTGGCTGGCGTTGGGGAAGAGCTTGATGCTCGACATTGTTGCCATATTGGATTAACGTGAAGTTGCTTGTTTTTGCAGGAATGTCCCAACACAGGAACCCGTCGCGTCCATCGGAGGAAATCCTTTTGCATAGGATCATAGAGGCCAGAATAGTCTATGGAAATCATTCAGTTGGTAATGTAACTTTGTCATTGAATCCATTCGCCGTCGTTTTAATCGGTAGGACGGACAGTTTTCATGGTATTTATTTGTTGAAATAAAAGTTTGCCATGAACAAATACTTTTCAGCCTGTTTGATATACCGTTTCAAATTCCAGTATGTGTTTGTATTGACGGGTACGGACAATGTGCGCATATATTTCTCTGTATTTCTTTTACATGTTCTTTATTTTTCGTTTCGGTACGGTTCGTTTACGTGTTCATGTGTGTGTTTCTGTTTCCCCACACTCCGTTGAATCATGTCCGTTGTTTCTGCGTAATTTATTCTCCTGCAAGAATCATGTGTATTTCTACGGCGGAACGAAAACCAAATGACTGCATAAATTAAACATTACTCCAAAAATCCAGTGGTGTTAAAAGTGTAATAGAAGAAAGAACATCAAAATTCAAATGGATCAATCATTCCATGAATTAATTAGTATGCAAATGAAAGATGAGACTATTCGTTTAGAAGTGTTTTTAAAATGACTGAAAGCATTTTTTATGAAAATATTATTGAAATTAATCTTTAATAAAAATGCAAATGAATCAAGGAAAAACATGGTGTACACATAATTAGTACTTCTTGTAGTAAACATCTCAAGTGCTTTTGGAATTTAAAAATATATGTTTTCTAAAACCGCTTTCAGCCATTTTGAAAACTCTCAAATGGTAAACTTGATTCTTTAACTATCAGTTAAGTAAACTTACGGGTTCTTTTGATGTGTTTTTAAAACGAGTGAAAGCACTTTTAGAGACATTTTTTTGAACCAACCTTTAGTAGAAACGCTATCAGAAAGTTTTGAAACCTAAAAATATTTTCTCTAAAAGATTATATGCTACTTCCAGAAAACATTTAAGTACTTCTGAAACCTAAAATTATCATTTTAAAAATACTTCTAAACAATTTAAGTGAATAAGATTCCTACTTAATTAAATAAAACATTCCATTTTTCTATATTTTCCAACAGTGTGTCAACGGTGTAGGAGGACCGATTGACAAAATAGTTAAATAAATAATGATCAAGTGAGTCGGTTGGGGAGGTTTGAATGATAACAGTCGGCAGGGACTGAAAATAAACACCACCGTGGACGACGGCTTGTTCAGCTACGCAACCACCAGACACCGTTAAGTTCAATGTCTGCTCTCCCGGATGAGCTGTGGAGGCGAATTCTAGAAATCGGCGTTCAAAGCGGCAGTTTCAGCTACAAGGACCTCTGCCGTATATCAATATCCTCCGCGCGCCTCCGCCGCTTATCCGACGAAGACTCTCTATGGTCCCACCTCCTCTCCTCCGATTTGCCTACTTCTTCTTCCTCGATTACCTCCCCAAATCCATCAACCTCTAAATCCCTCTACAAAATCAGGTAGACATTTAATTTGTTGTTTTTTAAATTCAGCTACTTGAAAATGTAAATTTGAAAATTGTGTGTTTTTGTTTTCGTTTTTTAGGTTTGAGAGAGAGAGGGATAAGAAAATGGCGGCGCATCGGAGGGCGGTTTTGAGGAAGGAGAGTCAGGTTGTAGAACGGTCTATGAAGCTCCGAGAGATGGAGGCTCGATTGGCCGAAGAGACTCAGAAAATGCAAGCAACACTTACCGAGCTCTCAAATTTGAGCAGGATTAGGTAATTAGTTTGCTGTTTTTTCTTTTTCTTTCGGTAATCTGTGACTTAATTTGAGTTTGATAGAGAATTAGAAATACATGTATATATACAGAAACTTTGAAATCTGTTTGGCTTTTCAGAAATTTTCATATGGTTAATTTGTTTTCATAATTTGTATTATCCCAAAAATTGATACTTAAGAAGTTAATTGTAATCTGATATGATTTGATCTGCATACTACATTTTGAAAACTAGTACTTGGCAAGAGTTGTAGCTATTATACCGAAAAATTCAGAGAGAATGGAACACGTCGATTATCGTTTACATATTCAGAGCCTATGCGCATTAGGAGAACAAAGGAGTACCCGTACCATCACCATGAGACCATTGATTTCAATTCTTGCCCTCCCCTAGTGGAGAACAAAGGAGTACCGTGATACGGTTAGGGAGATTAGTCAAGAACAACTTGAGGCGAGAGCTTGTAGCTCTAGTGATAGAGTATTTACCATATAATCGAGACAGGAATTCAGTTCTTGTGCTCCCCTACTCAAGTCTCCAGCCTCTGTTATACCGAAAAGAATAAAAAGGAACAGCACGAGAGGCTGAGAGTCATATCATGCTCCCGAACCCTTGTCCATGGAAGCACATCATTCCTTTTTTTAATGCAGTTTTATAATATTTTTTCTGGAACTTTGTTTTTCTTTTCCCCTTTTTATCATCTTTTTATGAGTATGTTTTTGTCAGTGTGTTTTATTGCCCGATTGCTTGTTTCAGGCAAGCTTCAGTTGCATTGAATGTGTGGCAGCCAGAGATCGTCCGGGGTAGACAAAAACAAATAGTGGAGCAATGTGTAGTACCTGTTGAGTCTCGGTTCCATTCCCTTGAAATGGAGCTCAAGCTCTGCAAGCAGCACATTTTAGGGTTGGAAAAGGCCCATGTAAGTCTGACAGTGTTGCTTCACCTCGAACCTATGGTAATAAATTGTTGTATTCAATTACAATCTCATGAGGCAAAATGTTAGATCGTGGGAAATTTTTAGAGTAATCTTAAGTGTTTCACATATTGACACACTTATAAAACTATTACTGTCATAATCAATCTGTTTGAATAAATTATCTCATTCAAACCTTAAGAACTAACTAATGAAATTATTGATACCTTAATAACTTAACTATTTTATCAGGCACTTATACAATGTATGTGGAATGTAAATGTGTAAAATTTAATAAGATGCCATCTTATAATCATGCCACATTGCCTCGTGTTTTTTCAAGGATTATAGAAGTATGTTTTTGATGTTTTTGAATTTTCTCACTTCAGAAAGATGAGAAACGAAGGCTTGCTTTGGTGGAAGAAGAGCTGCAGTCAATGAGATATCACCCTTTAAGAAATCATGAGCATATCGATTGCGGGGACATTGAATATAACATCAAGAGAAAAAAGTTAAAAAGATGTAAGGGTCAAAGTTTTGCTTTTGGCTGTTTCATATCTCTTTCCTTGCCGTCAGCCTTTTAAGCTTCTTTTTAGTTCTTGAAACGTACGATTCTTCACATCTTGGCCTTTTAAGCTTCTTTTTGGTAAAGGCATGCATGACTACAAACTAAGCATATCGTAGAGGGTCTTTACTCCCAAGGTGCTTTGGCTGTCAAATTTTTAGGTGTTGATGTATTTTTTAGGACTCTGGGTGTTTTTACCAGGCATTCGTGATGTTATCTTTTGCTTTCGTACATATCCACTTGGCTAGATCTCCACAATATAGTAAATTACCAGTCAACTTCACCTAGATCTAGTGGAGCAATTTTTTTCAAATACGCGAGTTATTTTTGTTTTATGTTGTCCATTTCATTCATTTTGATCTAATGGTTATGGTTTTCTGCTTCTGTTATTGACGGTAACCAGTATCAGAAGATTAGGATTTATCTTAGGAGTATATGAAATCTAATGTTCTGAGTACTTTGGAGATGTGCCAATGGCCTTCAGGCTTAAAATTTGTAATTTTCCTTGGTCACGGGATTACCAAATAATATAACTGCATGTAAAACGATTGAGTGCACAGTGCCTGTAGGGCGCTAGGATTTGTGACAAAAACAATGTCTGAATTGTAGCATTCTCTCTTGTTCCTGGGTCGTAATTTTGTTGTCTGCATAGAACATTTGCTTTGAAATGGTATGGAAGTGTAGTATTATCTGAAATATTGTCGTCGTGTTTAAGTACTTAGTTTCCAAATCAGACCTCCTCAAGGATGTCTGAACCTATATTGGACACTTGCCAACATAAGCTGTGTCATTGTGTGCACCTTCTGATGGAAAGCAAAATACTAACGCCCGACGTTGTTCAGGTCATGGTCAGGGGAGAAAACCTTAGATGGGGGGAGGTTTCTTTCATCAACAACACCACAGCATGTCAACTGGCATCAGGGACGCCAGGTTTCTTTCGATGACTCCATTGCGTACTGCTTGGCAGGCGACTGAACCAGTTGACATCAGGGATGCCCCTGATGCCAGGGACGCCCTGATGCCAACTGGTTCATGGCTAAGTCATCGAAAGAAACCTGGCGTCCCTGATACCAGTTGGCAGTTGGCAGGTGGCAATAATATTGCAATTGGTTCATGGCTAAGTTATCTCGATTCGTATTCAAACAAGTTACCTGTGATCACTGTTCTAAAAAGCAGCCTGGGCGGGTGCTCAGGCGCTAGGCGGAGATCGGGCGTCCCAATCAGGTCTTAGGCGTTTTGATGAAAGCTTCGGTTAAAGATTTGATGATAATTTTTTTTGTAAAATAATTTTGGACCTTCTTATAAAATAACTTTGAATACATATTTCATTTTTTGTACTTAATCAATTGTAGCCACTTATTTATATGTTTTTATTGTTATATGATATATTTAGAGAACTGTTATTGGTACTCTAAAATCTCATTTTACACTCTTTACATTATTTTTCTTTCTAATTGTAGGAAGTTTGGAGTGTGTAATTAGATTAGTGCCAATAACAATTCCCTAAATTTAAATAAAACTAAAAACCTGCTTAAGATCCTAGGCGCTGGACACCTGCTCGCCGTTCGACTAGTGCCTAACACTTTTTAGAACCTTGCATATGATTCTACGACCCCTTTATGTATAATCGGATGACCAACACTAGAAAATTCATGCTAAAACTTGGAGCATGTTTAGAAGTGTTTTTTTTAATAATTAAAAGCGCTTTCAAATCACCAAAAATGTTTTTGACCATATTTGACATAAAAAGTTAAAAGTGTGCTCCAAAAAACACTTGAAGTGCTTTTTCAGAAAACACTTGAAGTGCTTCTTCAGAAAGCACTTGCATTTTTATTTAAAAGTTTCATAGTGTTTCTAATAGAAGAGATGTTACTAGAAACGTTTAAGAGCATAAGTAATTTTCAAAGAAGCATTTCCAAACGGGCTTAAGCTACTTTGTGGTGATAATCATGCTAATAATGTTATCATTCCTAACATACCAAGCGTTACTAACCCACAAGAAATGAAAATGTGAGTGAGTCTCACGTTAAAATTAGTTTAGGATTTAGGGTTTAGGTGTATTAAGAAATCATTCTTAAGGACTTCATTTAATAGTCTCGTGTGTTTTTTTTCATATATAGAGCAAAAGATAATCAGCCACCGAATTATATGTTAACCAAAAGTAGGACCATAGGAGGTTCACGAGGAGAGAAATAAAGGGTAGGAGGAGAGTGTGAACTTGCCATTTCTGGTGATCTGCATGTGCATGGCACGTGACGATGCAAAAAAGATAGAAAATACAAAGTTCGAACAGATCCTCTCCAAATCTCATTTGCCTAATCATCAGGCAATCTGAACCACTTAATTGAATTTGACGGTCCCTATTAACTCATTACGTTGACTCACCTCACACAACTAAGAGCTTTTGAGCTCTCTTTCACACAAATCAAGAGCTCGCTTTTTTTTGTCCTTTGACTCCGGACAGTAAGGTCCGCGGAGAATCGAATGCCTATATAGATATTTGATCGACTTCCTGGTTTCTACAGATTTGACTATATTAAAGTTAATGTTAATGAAAAGGGCAGATGACTCGGCGAGGTAGATGAACAGTAAGTGTGCAAATACTTCCTTCCCCTTTAAGTGAGCTATACACATACACATGCATACATAAATATATATATATATATATGCTCAACATAAGAGCACTGTATGAAATATTCAGGTTTATTTTTTAGGTCCTTGGGAGAGAAGGCAGAGAGAGAGAGAAAGAGAGAGAGATGGGAAGGCCTCCTTGCTGTGAGAAGGTAGGAATCAAGAAAGGTCCATGGACTCCTGAGGAGGACATCGTCCTTGTTTCTTACATCCAAGAACATGGTCCTGGTAATTGGAGATCAGTTCCCACCAACACTGGTAATTTGACAGTAAAATTCAGCATTTATTTTTGAACTCGAGATCCCAAGTCCGATTTCTCCCTTCCCTAATTTAGCTTGAGTCAAAAAAAAAAAAAAAAGTTTAAGCAATTATTAATTTCCATGCGAATTAGTTATTGAATATTATGTGTTATGATTTTGTCTTATTTAATCTCTTTGTGGATTGATGTTTTGTACATATTATTCAATTCTTCCTGATTTTTGGCTGCAAAAAGGGCTCTTGAGGTGCAGCAAAAGTTGCAGACTCAGATGGACTAACTACCTCAGACCGGGAATCAAGCGCGGTAACTTTACACCTCATGAAGAAGGGATGATCATTCACTTGCAAGCTTTATTGGGTAACAAGTAATTCATCTTCAAACTTCTTCATTCATTACCATTTTCTATCAATGATTGTGAATACAACACTAATTGTTATTAGCGAGAGCCAGATGTTGTTGGAAAAAGTTGTGTATGTGTGTGTGTGTGTTTATTCTTATAGGTATGTATTTTAATACATGAAAATAATTAATATTGGTTTGATCGAGCAGATGGGCAGCAATAGCTTCCTACCTGCCACAGAGAACCGATAACGACATAAAGAACTACTGGAACACCCACTTGAAGAAGAAGCTGAAGCCATTTCAATCAGCTCTTGATCCTCATACGACGTCGAATGATCCGTTTAATGTAAATGTATCAAGGAGGAGTTTGAGTGAAGGGAGCTTAGATAATATGACAAGCCATGCCTCCTCAATTATTCTGAGGAACAACCAATCCTCCTCCTCCACATATGCCTCAAGCACCGAGAACATTTCGCGGCTCCTAGAAGGTTGGATGAGATCCTCCCCAACTCCGAAGACCTCTAGCCTCAAATATAATGCTGCATCTGATGATGATCAAGAAAAACCTAGCGGTACTAGCACAGGAAACCTAGTATCTAACGAGGAGTTTGAATCGATTTTGTCCTATGAGAACTTGAACAATGTTGCTTCTTGGGACATGTATACTTGTGATTCATCTACTTATTCTAACAAGGTGTCACAACTCAGTATTAAAGTTCCAAATGGGGCGGAAATAATTCATGATCATCATCTTCTGCGCGACGAGGATCAGAAGAATAAGCAAATTATTCGATGCGAAAGCAGTAGTACTAATTGTAACAATCCTCCATTGACATATCTTGAGAAGTGGCTGTTAGATGAAAGTGCTGGACATGTAGAAGCCGATCAGATGGTGGAATTGTCTCCAATGTCCTTGGTTTGAGCTTAATTAGCTAGCCAGCCATGCTAAAAAGGTTAAGCCAGCTTGCTTAAATATAAACCTAATAGGAAAAAGCAGCAACAAATTATGAAGGGTTTTAATTTGTTTATCTCTTTTCTAATGAGGTTTCAAAAGTCGGAATCTCTTTGTTGATTGTAACCTGTTTATTTCTTTTCTTTGTTTTTTGTTTTTTGCTTTTGTTTTATTTATTTTCTTTTCTTTATGAACGGATGGAAAATTTCAAGGAAGATGATCATCATTTCTCTTTGGTGTGTTAAAGTCTTATCATTCAAATGACAAGGGTCTTTTCGAAGTTCTGAGTTCGATTGCAATCAAAGTTCTTAGTTCGATTGTCCTCACCTCAATGATTTCCGGCAAACCAATTATCAACTGAATTAATAGGATGTGGTGTGGTTGAACGCAGTCCAACAGTAACAAAATTGAGTTTTAAACCCTACATTAAAATGGGAAAATAAATTGACTTATAATATTTCATTTATTGGGTGACCCTTGATGCTAGCTGGTGGCAAGAGCTAATTGGCCTAAGTACAGTATATGTATAAATGTAATCAATATTGAGTAAATATATTGAAATGTAGGTAGGCATATTGACATGTTATTCAAGTTTACAAGTAATTGCTCCATGGTAATTAACCACTCCTACACTTTGAGAAATATTTCAGTGTGTTGAGAACATGATCTAGTACACCAAATGTCATAACAATTGGTTGAATTTTATTTTTTTTCATGTTTCCAACCAATTGTATTATGATATTTAGTATACTGTTTATATTTCCGGCACACTAAAAAATTTCTTCTATACTTCAAATAAATAGAGAGAGAAAAGTTAAGTTTTTAATCATTCATTTGTCAGATGTGTGTATATTTACTTGGAAAAGGATGAAAAAGTTAGCCAAAAGCAGGGAAAGGAAGGAAAGGAATAAAGGCTAAAAATGAGACAGTGGGATTTGCGTGACGAAAGTCTCATGCATGCAAAAGAGGTAATTTGCTGCCTCAAAAGTCCCTATTTTTAGGGCAAATGATGAGAGCAAATTACATGTGAGCCTATTCACCTTTCGGTGTGAGAAGCAAACAAAAGCTGTGATGTTCTATCTCTCTCTCATTGCAGCTTTCGAGAACAATTTATATGATATGAGTATACTGTCATTATAGCCTCTTGTATCAATAACATAATGTTATATACAATGGTAAATTTAGGATTTGAACATCAGGAGGTGCTAATGTTAAAGGTTTAAGGTTTTTAATAGAAAAGAGCGGAAATGCATTTGGTGGACTTATTGTCATCAACAGAACCATATATGTCAACAAAAATCGACATATACTAAAGCAATCTGATGAGTACTCTTGAGAGAATTTATCGTGTGCTCTCGACGCAATATATCGAGTGCTATCAAAATATGTCTAGCATATTTTATAGACACAAAAGAGGCCAATACCAAACATTTGAATGATTTCCAAAAACCCTAAGATGTATATTTTCCAAACTCTGAATGATCCTAAGACCACCTTGATCCCGATATACCTCTCTCAGTTGTGATATAGAGACAAACTTACATAATCATTATACTGTTATATAATTTAAACGAGTTAATGTTACAGTTGTAATGTAATTGTGCCATCATGCGAATATAAGTCCTCTTCCCCACCTCCTATGTACGTGACTACGTATACCATGCAAATGAAACAGTTGTAATTTACTTGTACCATCATGCGAATATAAGTCCTCTTCCCCACCTCCTATGTACGTGACTACGTATACCATGCAAATGAATCAAAAGCTATAAAGCTTTCACAGGACCTATGAAATAAAAGGTTTTGACTCTCAAATGTCTGTGCATGCCTTTACAGACACCAACAACCAATCACAAAACGCCATCTTCATGTTGTGGTCCATAACTCATCAGTTTCACAACAATAGTGATTGACAATAAGTACATTAAATAGTAACTCAGCAAATGAAAATAAATGTTTTTAATCAAATAAGTGTACAAGACACATGAATTTCAACTGACAAAAGAAACAACCTCCCGAGCTAAACGGAAAGGGATCCTTTGCGGATTCCTTTCACTAAATTTACAAATTCGGGTCCTTAAAACTTGATCTAACGGTTAAAAATATGAGCCTCTTTTAAAAATTATAATAACTTTAACCGTTGGATCAAATTTTAAGGGTTCGGATTTGTGGATTTGGTGAATTTGGTGGAAGGAATCCGGAGATGATCCATTTCCGAGCTAAATTAAAGCTCACAAAATTCACAAAACTATAAATCCTAGCAAAAGTTTGGCATAATCAACATACATTGCTTATGCAACCTATTGACGTACAAAATCGAGTAGGCTCTGAAACAACATAAAGTGTCAAGGTAAGAACTTTGCAAGATTGCTCCAGAGTGTGGGTAATATGTAAAGAGAGAGATAGGAAGGCAAATACAAAATGTACGTGATTCACTCTAAGTTGGACTACGTCAACGAGAATAGGGAAGTTCTCATTAATAATGTACTCCAACAATACAACTGCGTATAACAACATATAAGAGACATATAAGAGTCATGATTTGGCAAAGCACATGGACAAATGGCAGCAAAGTCTGTCATATCAACGGTATTGAGAATGAATTTCACATTAATAGGAGAAGAGACCTTGCATGAGTTTATAGTAAGTTAAGCTACTCCCCATATTGCCAATTAGTTTTATGGTAGACCCCCAACGTTTTTCATGGTATTAGAGCAGGTTATCCCATGTGTAAAGCCAAACATCCACTCGCGCACACGTCATTCTGTTGTGTGTCTACATGTTAGCTTGAAAATTCGCCACACATGAGAGCATATTGAGAATGAATTTTACATTGCTGGGAGGAATGACTTTGCATGGGCTTATAAATAAGTTGAACTATTCTTCATATTGCCAATTAATTTTACGGTAAAATCCCTACTCTCTTCAAATGGTAAATCTAAAGTTAGAGAAAAATAGAAAAATTTAGAAAAATATTTAAGGAACAATTAAAATGAGGAATGAGCATAAAAGAGGTAATTAGTTACTAAGTTTGAGCATATCAGCACAAATAAATTGTTTTTTGAGGCCAAGTTAGTAAAGAATGCACGACAAAATATTAAAGGAGAAAATGCACTTCATAAGCTTTGTAAAAATATGTATGAGCAAATGATAAATGACACCTTTAAATAGTTATTTGTTAATTTGTAACACCCCGATCCGTGAATAAAGATTATCCACGAGTTAGGGTGTGAGACATATCTTAGCTATAGAAATAAATTCTACAACCAAGATATGGTGGAAAATAAAATGAAATAATTAAAATTTATTGAATACGCAGCGGAATAACAATAATGCGCAAATTAATTCACAACAAAAACTACTAACAAAATAATAATTAAATTGTAACAAATATTAGTACACAAAATTAATTCATAACCAAAATACCAACTAAAATAATAATTGAAATGAGTAGCTCTTGAAAATACATAAAATGTATGCAATGAAATGTATGAATGTACTCACTCCCTTCAAATCCCATCAACACATACCTAAGGCACCCAAGCCTGCACGTCCCATACCATGCTTATACCACTTGGCTCCGAGTACGTTAGAATATGAGTTAACTCCCGTTCATCCCTTAACCCAATTTTTATAATTAAACTCTCAGTTTCCACTTTATTAAACAGACACTTCCCCCGACGCCCAAATATATACTCAAGTCATGCACCATACGCCTGATATATACAAGATTTCATTATTTTATAATCAACCAATTGTATACTCAAGCCCTGCACCCTACGCCTGACATATACACGGTTCATTATTTTATATTCAAGGCAAACTTTAGCCCTTGAATATCCTCATAGCTTAAACACTTTACACAAGTGAGCACTTGACACAACACAACTCTTTTTCTTGCTTTGCAATGCATATGTATATGTCATGTTCACATAGATATCAATACTCACACTTTATCTAACAAGCCTACGACTTCAACATAAATCAAATTGATTAGTAACAAGAGTAATATAATCATAATATTAACAAAATAATAATCTATAATCCATCATATAAACTGTTGCTCGTTGACCACTTCATATATATTGTTCATCGTCTCGTCCATCTTGGTCGGGCAAACTGTTTTTATTAGAAAAGAATAGACATCCATGTTAGAGAAAATAATCGTTAGAGTGAAATATATGTCTTAAATGCCACAAGGCATGAAATTATGTCTCTAGCTTTTCCCTTTCCAAACATCATCTTTTATTTTTATTTTAGCCCACCACTTCTACTTCTTTAATATAGCTGAAACTATCAGCTGTTCGAACAGGGATATAAGTCAGCACATATATTCGATTGTCATGGTTTTTGGATATGTTATAGATGAGATGATAAGGAACAACTTTTGTGAATGAAGTGTTTCGATTCGAGTTACAAAAAATGGGGTTTTGGTGCTCATAACATGGCTGTCCAGTTTTCTGTGGGATTAGAGACATGAGTTGGTATTTCAGACATAATGGACGATCACAGTTGGATGTTTCTGAAATTTTGATATATCATGGTTGAGAGACAGATGAACAACTCTCATGAAGGAAGTATTATAATAAAATATATGGATGATGGTGTTTTGATCTGTTAAATAGGCTGGACGAATTTCTAGTCTTGAATATCTTTCTTTTGATAGATGAAAATGATAGTAGTTTGATGGGAGAGATTTGTTGGGTAAGGCTCATGTATTTTCTGGGATTTGTCTCACACTTTTTGTACATCATCCTCAAGAGAGATTAATAGAGATTGTCGATAGTTTGGTGGAAGTGCTTCTCATGGAAAAGATCTCAAAATGTAAATGCATAAATACACAAGATTTAAGTGGTTCGCCAAATTGACTACATCCACTGCGGTTTGCTTTCATTGTATTTCACTATATATGAGGGACTTACAAATACAATGAAAGATGGCTTAAAGCCTTAACAATATGTAAAAGAAAGGTAATTGGATAATATGAAAGGGAGGATGGCTTTTTATTGGAGTTGTTCTTTTTTTTTTTTTTTCCTTCTTCTTCTTCCTCTCTTTTCTTCTTCCTCTTTCCTCTATGTCCTTCCGTTGTTTCTTTTCTCCTTCCTTTATGTAGATTGCATGACATCTTCTCCAAAGAATCTCCACAAGCGTGCCAATGGAAAGAAAGCAAGTGTTGTGCTAATCATTAAACATGAAATGTGTTCCAATAGAAACACACCAAATTTTAACCTAATCATCACCATGAAATGTGTTCCAATCACAAGGCAACAAATGTTATTCTCATCATTAACAATGAAATGTGGTCCAATAGACAAAGAACAAATGTTAAGCGAAACCTTAGCTCTAATATGTGTTCAAATGGCAAAGAGACATGTGTGAAGTTAATCAATATTATGCAAGGTCAATACAAGCATCCAAGGCCACGTTCATCTCTAAGGAATATGAATCCCACCTCTTCAAACTTTGGAGGGATGAATCATCACCAAACATTTAGCTCTTAGATTCCTAATGATTACAAACTTGCTAACTCACCTTTAAGTAGACTTCCACCTTCACATTTAGAGTGATGAGTAATCACCAAATCATTAACTCCTAATGCTACAAACTCTCCACCTCAACCTATTTAGAGTAGTGACTAACCCCTCCCCTTTATTCTCTAATGGTTGCCAAAACACCACTTAGCCTTTGTGAGAAAAATCTAGTCAAACTCATAATCCCCTTCTCCAATTCAAACAAAAAATATCCCTAATTACATATGAACATGAAATAGCTAGTTTTTGAAATAATTTGTAGGAAAAAAGAATTTTACATTGAAATTATTTTACATACCGAGAATAGGTTCTTGCATAAAAATAAATCAAATAAAATCACTACGTAAAAATAATTACCCAACATACACCCATATATATATATATAATCATTTTTTTTTAAAATAGGGGTATTACATAATCCCTTGCAAATATACTTTTGTGATGCTCACGAAGTACATTCATATGTAATTCCCATTTTGTAATCTACTTTTATCAAATTCTCTCAAATCTCTTGACATTTAGAAATTCATCACCCAAACATAAACATAAATAACTTAAGTTTCTTCTTTGCTAGGCTACAATAACGACAACAACCAATCTTAATCCACTAAATAGGATTGGCTGTATAAATTCTAGACCGTCATTGCACTCGATTTCCTCTTTGGTATGCTAATCAATTTTATTTATTTCCATAAAATAAATATAGCCTACTAATTGTAAAAGTGGTCCCCAAAACCAAACATGAGGTGAACCATTAATTATGGACTCCGAATAAAAGAAATTGTGACAAGTCTTTATTATTACATCCAATTGGATTATAGGACCAATTATTTCCCTCATACTAAATAACTCCTCTTTGTGAGGATTATGGGGGTACTCAAATCATGTTCGTTCATTATACATCATGTGGTCATAAATCATTTTAAATACTTTTATTTTAAATTAAATATGAATGGTAACTGACGAAAACTGTTATTGTACAATATACGATGAATGGACACGATTTGAGGATTCCCAAGATCCTCATAGAGAGGATCCGGAGAGAATCCTCCTGGTAAATAACCCACTTACCCTAAATGTTGTCTTAAAACCTTGGATTACTCAAGGCCTTTAATCTTTCAATAATTTCACATACTTGGCTTGGGATTAGGGATAAGAGGTTGTTTAGCTACTTTTCAGAGGTCGATTTTTTATACAACAATATTTTACACTAAAAAAGTAAGGATGACAGAGGGGAGGGAGGTGGACTTCAGCTAGAACACACAATGAGTCAGTTATAGTTCAGTAGCAAACTCAACACAAATGTCAACATACATTTGAGTTGAACAGGAGACCATCTTGCTTACAAATGGAGATAAAATACCGCTAAATTGTAGTGCATACTGAAAATTAAATTTGATACTAAAAAAGTATATGGAAGTTTAGGATTGAGGTTACTATCGAATACCATGACCCAAAGAGGAAAAACGAAATCATGTAGAACTCTACCTTGAAGGACAAGAACCTTATACACAAAATTCCCAAATCTTCCCTAAATGGGTGCATATCCGCGAGAAGCGGATTTTACCAGTAAGATTGCCATCCATAGATATTACAACTGAGGCAAATACAGTTTATCTTTCAATTACTATGATGAATGTGAATTCATGAGCTTCAAGTTTTAATTGAAAAGAAACGAAAGTGACATTGAAGTGGTTCTTGTGGATTCAAGCACGAAAGTGACAGAGTTGTGGACTCGACGGATGCAACAACCATACCAGTAACGTGGGACTCAGGATTACGATGAGTTGGTCTGTGCAACAAGGCATTTCATCTCGTTGTCTCAGTACCTATTTATGTTCATAGATGATCAATTGTGTGTAACATCCCTAGGTTTTTTTCTCTAACTTTGGTTTCGATCAATGTATGTTAACAGATATATTTGTATTACATCTGAATCAAAATATGTATCCCACATGTGAATCAAAACATGCATTAAAACTGCCTCTGCAAGAAGTAAATGGACAAGGCGAGGCAAAACATCCTATCTAAAAACGAACCTCAATTTTTCCAATTTTTCATTGATCAACTACTCTCTGCATTCCTTTAAAACCTAACCTGGATTAGTCTGCCATCAGTGAATCACAACAGCATTCATATGACACAGATGTAACAGGTCAAATCTATTACCTTCTCGGAAACATGTTTGGTTCTGTTTGATTGATTTGTAAGGTAGTCAATCTTTACGATGACATGTTTATGTCATCCAGAATAATATGATTACTTTCCCCGCATCTTCTGAACCTCTTCGTAAATTGATTGGAAAAGTACAGTGGGAATATACCTCTCACCAAAGCTTGGAAATATAACCTATAATATGAAACACAAATAAAATAAATCAACACAATACTATTTAGAACGGCGTAAAGTGTAATCAACTGTAATTGTCACTAGCAGGTAAAGAATTGTTTAGCTCACCTCATGTTTAAGATAGCACACTCGGTTTCAATATATTTTTTAATGAAGTACATTTTCAGTCAGAGTAATAATTCAGTCTCGCTCTGTCTCAATTATATAATGAATGAAGTATTGTTTTCAATCATAGTAATAGTTCAATCTCGCTTCATTTTATTCTGCAGTAAAAAAGAATTCTATGAGGAATATCGCTACCTCATAAGATTGGACTACAACATCTAATCTTAATCTGCCCCACGATTGTGTAAAAGAAGAAGCATTACATGCTTCAGCTAAGTTTTGTTAAAGCCTCAAATGCATTTCAGAATGAAATTAGCTTGATCAAAATACATCATAGCCTTTCAAGACAATTTGAACCATTCAAATTATGCATCAGTTTCATAGTCTACAAGTTACTTATAATTTAAGCAACACTTTGAACCGTCCAAAGCCAGGTACAATGCTTTAGCAATGAACCTTTCTGCAGCTTTTACTACAACTTGCTCATGTCGCAAACTAATGACATTAATAGTACCCAGTACAGCTAGCCCAATTGTATAAGTATCAAGGAAAGGGGAGAAAAAGAAAACAAATATAACCAAAAAAGAAAACCTCACCGCAATAAGTTTTCCAATGTTCTCAGGTCTTCTTGCTAAACTTATTGCAGCAGCCGCAGCAGCACCTGATGAGATACCAACCTAGGGACAAGTATTGCATATCGGAATTACCAAAATCACCTTAAATTAGGATAGAATTACAGAAAAATGGGGTGGCTTTCTAAGTTAACAAATGATAACATTGATAAGTTCCAGCAGAAGTTGGAATTTGTCGCTTATAAAATGCTCCATGTGAAAGAGTAGTTGCAAATTACCAGCAAGCCTTCCTCCAATGCTAGCCTCCTTGCCATTTCAACAGCTTCATCGTTGGTAACCTACATTTGCATAAAAAATGATTAAAGAAATTTATCACATGTATTTCCAACTGACAAGTGAGAAGCAAGATTACCCTGAGAAAAAAAATTCAACAAATAAAAAAAAAGGTTGTCGACAAGCCGATAAATTGCAGGATAGAATGCCCACAGGCTGATTCACATAGCAAAATCAATACCAAAGTGACCCAAAATACTTATCCCAGTAGAATGGCTTTATGATGCACTCAGTGCCAGTTGAGAGGAAGGAGAGAAGAAAAAAACATGAGCAGAATAGACAGGATCGAGGGAGGAAGAGTGGAGAAAGAAAGGAAAGGGGTGACGAAGAGAAACAAGAGGGAGACTAGAGTTTTATTGAATATATCTAAAGGCAAAAAACGATAACAACAATAGTACTACTAATAACTAAGAGACAACACAAATTAATTTACCTTGATGACCTCATCAAGTAAATTAACGTCCAAAATGCTTGGTAAATAACCTGCATGAATTACTCACATAATTATTCAGTCAAGCATACTATATTATTGAATAAGAAACTGCAACAGAAAATTGATGCAATTAAAACCGAAGAGCAACAGTGCTTTCACCTGGATTTTCTCCAGATATTACACTCCTCTCTGCAGGTTCCACACCCACTACCTGGATAATCAAAATTACAAAAGCATAAAAAAGAGGTCGTACCCAGTGCACAAGGCTCCCGCTTTAGGCAGGGTCTGGGAGAGGTAAATGTCGGCTAGCCTTACCCCCATTTATGGAGAGGCTGCTCCCAAGTCTCGAACTCGAGACCTACAGCTCATGGGCAAAATTACAAAAGCATGCAATCCAGAATTACAAACACATTAACCATAAAGCTGCAGTCCAACTAATTTCCACAAAGCCAAATAAGAGCAAGCAGGCACTCATTCAAAATCTAGAGGTGCAAAGTTGTTCCGCCTTCGATGTCTGCTAATACTTGGGTTTATCTCTTTCCTCTCAAATCTAGTGTCAATGATAGTATAGTATAAAATACGACTAACAGTATCCAGAATGTGCATTTAAGATTGTTTTTTTCCTATAACTCAAATGACTATGTTCCATAACTTATAAATCAATTGTTGCTAAGAATTCAGATCCTCTCTGGATCTATGTGTCCGGAGCCAATGTACCAAAGAATCTGTGCCGTTCAAGAGCTGGTTTTGTGTAAGGCCAGTGGGATGGGCTAATGAGGGCCGCATGATTTAAATTGAGTGGTCCGGATTCCCTAGTCCGTCGGCTCCAGACACAGAGATCTGGAGAGGATCTGAATTCGATAATGAAACAAATTATGCATTATGTGTGTACATTATGAACTAGCCTCACCTTTATCTCCTTGTTCATCATTTTCAGGTAACGGCCAGTGCCTGTAACAGTACCACCAGTTCCAATAGCAGCAACAAATATGTCAACATTACCAATGGTATCCTCCCATATTTCTGGCCCAGTAGTATCAAAATGGATCTGTAGTTCATGCATGTGAATGCTAATTAGAATATTATTTATTACGATATACATGTGTATATTCATACACATACATATAGATTCAGTTTAGGATAATCAATAGCATTATTGAAGTGCCTCCAGAGAAAACAGAAATTACCTCTGCATTCGCAGCATTATCAAACTGTTGAAGCATATATGAATTTGGTGTGTTAAGAACAATTTCCCCAGCTTTATCTAACGCTCCTTTCAAACCCTTTTCTGGATCCGTCAAAACAACCTCTGCCCCGAATGCCCGTAAAAGAATCCTTCTTTCAATATCTATGGACGCCGGCATGGTGACTATAAGTTTATACCCTTTAGTTGCAGCAACAAAAGCAATACCAAGTCCTGTATTTCCACTAGTTGGTTCAACTAATACAGTCTGCATAGTAACACAAAAAAAGTATAATTCTTAACAGAAAGAAATACGAAAAAGACCACCCAAAAGAAATATGGCTTTTCGCAAAAGCTAAAACATCTTCCTCCACGTAACTTGCATAGTCATCTCAGATGACAAAGTAATATATTGATCCATCAGTAAAAAAAAATTTCGTATAATAACTTATCAGCTCACCTTCCCAGGAGATATAAACCCACTTTTCTCAGCTTTAGATATCATGCTACAGCCAATTCTGAAATGTTAATCAGCATAGATAACATGAGTTCATCTGGAATGTATCTCCATTCAGCAAGCAAATATTAATGATGCGGAAACTGTAGTTACACGGCAATTATAATTGACCAGCTAAGATACTTAGTTTCATAAAAAATTGATTACTACAACTAGTCTACCAAATGGGGCAGTTACGTCCTAAAGTTTCATCGACAGGATGGTTCCATATACCTTAAACCGTATCAATCTTCTACAATCAGGATGGCAAACAAGATTAAAAAACAATCTGGCCAATAACGGTAAAAGTATATAGTAAGATTTCAGAGCAAAATGACAACTTATTCAGCAGGTTACCTATCCTTGACACTTCGGCACGGTTCCATAGATTCAAGCTTTGCTGCAATATTTGCCACACAACCTTCGCTAACTTTGTTGAGGTATACCATGGGTGTGCTCCCGATCAACTATAATAATTTATCAGCATAATTCAAGTCAACAAAAATGATGAGAATGTAAACCATAATGTACATAAAATTCACTGATTATGACAATGTCGTATATTGTTGTCAAATGTGAAAACTGAAAATGGTCAGCAACTACAACGAGAAATCTATTGCCAAAACACTTGACAACCTCACCTAACAAAGTAATATATTCCATATCGTACAAGCGAGGATTTTGAACGTTGAATCCAACACTTAAACAGTGCACAGTTATATTTCCATAATCTAACTTGCTATAGTCCAGAGTGTGAAAATTGTTATCACTTGATTTCGAGTACTTTACGTAGCAATTAATCAACAGGAACCAACAGTTTAAAGAAAAACACTTCAAGTCCAATACTTCATAAAAACACCATTCTTACTTTGCAATGGGAGAAGGTCACCAAAAGAATTTCACAACAGGGAATTAATAATGACAGTAGATAGTTAAAGTGTTTTCTTTCTCCAAGTGAGTTCTTGAAGTGTTTTTTTTTTATAAAACATAAAAGTTTTCAGGGTGTTTTGTATAATTCACTAAATTTCTCGTCCCAGTTTCCAAGGGTAATGCTAGAGATACCATCTATTTAAACCACATGACCTGTTATTGATGATTGAACTATCAAAATGTTGATTAACGTGCATATTTTCCATTTGCGACATATCTCATGGTTTGAAAATTTAGTCTAAAAAGTTGTTCTACCTAGCATTACTCTTCCGGAAATCCAACCAAATACCAATACAGTGCCCAAAATTGCAGAAATACCCAGTTAAATTCTTAGCATTTAGAGAGATTATTCTGATAAAAAAATTAAAAATTGAGCAAAAGCGAGTTAAAAAAATGCTAAAAAGAAAGAAAAAAATGAGAGCAGAACCTGCGTGACGTCCTCGGCGATATTGACAGCGTCGAGCTCTTCTCTGATGGCGTAGACAGAGGAGGCGGCTTTGGCAAACACGAGACGGTGCCGTTTTGCGAGCTGTACTCCGAGAAGAGCTCCATTGGTGGAATTGCCGGCGAGCTTGAAGGACGCGAAACGGTGGGGTTTTGGGGGAGATGAGAGGGGAAGCGGAAGAAGCAGAGGAGGTGATAATATAGCCATTCGTTCAGAAAAAAGGTTTTTGAGGGGTTTTAGATTGGGGATCTCGTGGGTGCACTCACAACATATGTTGGGGTGAGTTTGACAATTTTGGCGCTGTTTGCACTCAAAATATGCTCATTTTTACTTATTTGGATCATTGGGGTAAAATATGATATTTGGAGGATTATTATGCAAGAAGGCTAGCTTAGAAAAATATTTGGCTGCAAGTGGACATTATAATATTGTTTCTCCAATTTGTTTGGGTGGTGGAGATTTGCATGCCTTCAAGTAGATTGGAAAAGCATGCAGACATTCTTGCAGAAGACATGTGAAAGAAAACAGCTTGCTTCTTTTTATTATTAATTTATTACAAGTGGTAGAGATTCAAACTTGCTTATTCTAAATATTTCACAATATAAGCTGCCCAAGCTTCTTTCGGGCAAGTACAAAAACCTCAGCAGGGGGTTTCTTCCAGACCTCTATATAAAGGGGCACAAGCACAAGGATTATGGACACTCAAAACAACCAATCAAAACTCTACTCAAATTAGTTCATCAACTTCCTTGTAGACATTTATTTTTAGCCAAGCATCCTTTGCTTTTCTTGTTTATTAGCTCTGCTACTCACTTGTAGTATCGATCTGATTTGTAGCTTTTATGTACTCATTTCCAATCATATAAATTACAAGCAATCTGCAATATCAATCACTTTCCTCTGTCATTTATATTTCCAAGCAACCTTATCATTTACATATTATTCTATCTCTTCATATAAGTAAAGTCCTTATTTTTAAGGCAAACAAATAACCTTAATTTGAGCAACTCCCACTCAAATGGCACAATCTCTTGATTTGAAGTCAAAAGGCGCAACATCAATCATTCAAATCCCGTCTACTAGCGGTATCTAGTAGTGGCACGCCTGCACCCACCAATCTCGTATGTAAAGTAAATCCCCGGCTTGCCCACAAGGCCTCATGGCGGATTTAGGGAGCAAACAGGCGCCACCTGATATCATCAAGTGGTGTTCTTGATCTTAGGATAGTGTTTATTGTTTTGCAAAACTTCTTTCATGCTCTAGTGTTGCGGGTGTTTTAACCGTTAGTTTTTTAATTCTATAATTTTTAATAAATATTTAACCGGTTAAAACATTTGAAATACCCAAGAAAGTTTCAGAATTTATTCGTGTGTACGTGGTCTCACCAAGGTCTAAAATATCGATGATATCGGAAATATCGATAGTCCAAAAAACACGAAAATTTCTATGGAAATATCGGGATATTATCGATATCGATAAAAATTGAATAAAAACCATGGAAATTGTAAGAAAAACTTGAAAATTTTTATTGAAACTTTGCAGGTTATTTATTTAGTCAATTATCTATTAGTTTATCACAAAAAAAAAATTGGAAGGAAATACATTGCATGATGGATTTAACTGATTTAAGCTGATTATATAGCGAGCTGGCAAATATTGTGAGTGTATAAAATATGTAGTAATTAATAAAAGAAGTTTAAACACACAATAATCATTTATATATAATGAATTAGTACAATATTTTACAATTTATACATTGCATGGTAAGATACATGAGTTACTTAGTACCACATAAAGTTCATATCAAGGTCTAAAATATCGATGATATCGGAAATATCGGTAGTTTAAAAACACGAAAATTTCGATGGAAATATCGGGATAATATCGATATTTTAGACCTTGGGTCTCACTTTACGTGTGTGTTCTTCATATAGACGAGTTTGATTTCTCAAGTGTGCTCTTATTTACATATGTCATGTTACGCCGATGCAGCTAGAAGAGGAAATGGATTATAAGTATGTTCTAGGAAAAGAAATAAAACGGAGCTTGCAAATGTTAGACGATTGATTTTTCAAAATTTTGCGGTCAGTTCATTGTTAATTATGTGCGACTCTCTACACCAATTTCTAATTATGTGCGACTTACAAATTATTTTCAAAATTTTTATTTGCCAAGTTACTTTTTTGCAAATTTTTATTTATTTACCATGTTACTTTTGATATGTACAAATTGAAATACCAATAAAACAGAAATATGCAAGTCAATTTGTTCAATCTCTTCTCTTCATAATTCTCTCTCTTCCAAAATAACCCAACCCCGCCCGAGCAGGCCCAAACAAGATTTGTAAATTGTGTAAACACCTCCCAAACCAGCCACGGCTCCAGCAACCAGCATCCTTAAAGGCAGCATTCGATTTTAATCCAATCTGAAAGAGATGGAGACCATCGAGGTAATTGTAACTTGTAATGCTTTATATTTCAAAATTATGAATGAAGTCATTTGTCTCTAAAATGTTTACAAATTTTTACACATGACCCTCCAATAAAATTTTCCTAGATCCACCATCGATAGACACAACTGGTGCAGTTACAGTCTTAGGTTACTTTGTTACTTGTTAGAGTGAGAAGAAAGAAATGGGAGTTGGTGACTATAGAAACTGGTTGATTTCTTAACAAGCAAGCTCCGTCAACTTCATTATTAATCTGTACTTTTTTTTTTAAAGGAGACCAGCTAGTGGCTATTGCTACAGCTAGTGGCGAATCCAGAAAATAATATTAGGGGGGTCAGTAAGAATAGCGCACAACTTGCAAATTTTTTTTATACCAAAAATAACATGCATATCGCCATTTCATCGAGTCTTGGTAGGCCTGAAGTCATTTGCAAATGCATACTACATACATGTTAATGTATGCAAGGGGCAACACCCAAGGTATTCATGGACATCATCGGGTTTTGGCAGGCCTGAAGTCGGTTAGAGGGCAAATATGAAGCCAACTCTAATCTTCAAAAGGGCAACACTCAAGGTATCCATAGACATTCACCGAAGTTCGGAGGGTCAGCACCTAAGATATCTATGGATGTTCATCGAAGTTCGAAGGGTCAACTGACCCCCCTTGCCCCTTAATGGATCCGCCAGTGGCTACAACAGTCCACCTTTTTCGATGGTCGGAAATACTCACAAAGGCATTTCAACCTCCCTTTGACCATTATCGTGCAATTCACCAGCGGCAGGTATCGAGCCCAGGACATTTCATGTGATTCACCAGTGGCAGGTATCGAACCCAGTACGTGCCGTATGAAGCACCGGTCTAAAATTCGTCAGCAACCACTGGACCATCCCGTGGTGGTTCATTATTAATCTTTACTTGACTTACTAAGAGTTACCATCACAATGAGAAAAAAACCTACAAATAAAGAACGAACGATGTGGATTCACAATTCATTGCCCTGATCAACTTGGTTACAAGGGACCCGCGTAGGGTTTAATTTTCAAGTCTATCTACGACCGGACACTTTTCCCCAGCTCTCATTTGAATTCTCTTCCCAGATAAGTGCTAGATCTTAAAAAGTCCAAGACACGAGCTAGGGCTTGAAAAGTACAACATAAACCACTACGAAAGAAAAGATAGAAACAGGTTCAGGTTGAGTTGACCAGAAAGTGGGGTTTTTTTGAAACTTGTCATTACACTAGGAATGAACTGACCAGAAACAGGTTTATTGTTCGACAAATTTCTTAACCGATAGACAATTGACTTTTCAAACTTTTGCGGCTAAGTAGTGCTAAATAGTTAAAATTCAAAATTAAAATTAGCATGCAAAATAAGGCATGGTCTAATTAAATACACTCAAGTTCAAATTTGCTCTCAATTTTTTTTTAAGAGGAAGAGTAACACAACAAGTAAGCATCCAATCTACCAAAAAAAAAAAAAAACATTACGACATGTTTATTTACAAAAAGTATGAATCGAAATAATTATAATTCTTGAGTTCTTGTCATTTACTGGAATATCGAAATAAAAATTATATCGTTTCTTAATTTTTTTCGTTGTATTTTATTCTTAAAATAATAATCAAATACTAAAAAATAAAGAAAATAAAAACTAATGAAATAATTTAAAAACTTTGAGTTTTACGATAAAGATAAAATAAAGAATAAAATAAAAAGTATCAGAATTGATATTTTAGCGTAAAAATATGATTTTTGGTTAAAATAAATTGTACGAAAACTTTTCGTTAAAGTAAATGGTACGAAACCTTTTCGTTAATGTTCAGTAAAGAAATCCGATTCTCTTCATTGATGCCGGTTTGGACTTTTTCTTGTTTCTGTACATGTATGAGTCCCGAGGTACACATACCGGGCAGCGCAGGCAACAAAGTTTTCTGCTTTCTTAGGGTTTTTGAGAAAACCAAAAAACCCTCCTGGTACGACGGCGTCCGCCACGACGGAGCTGCGGAGAAGCATGACAATAATGGAAGAGATAGCTTCGAAGTTGAAGCTGTCGGAGACGAAGCAGCGGAGCATTGGCAAGGCCCAGGAGACCCTGCGCGCCCAGGTGGATTCCATGCTCGCATTCACCCTCAACTGGAAGGACCTCGACGACCACTTCGACTCTGTCAGGAACTCGCTATACGCCGCATTCGTAGGGCTCCTGGAGCGGGAGAAGGAGATTGGGTCCCGATTCGCGGACTTGGAAGTGAAAGAGAAGGAATTTGACTCGGCGATGGCGGTGAAAGGCAGGGAATTGCAGGCCATTGTGCGGGAGGTTGAAGAAGGTAAGTTACAGTTGCAATCTATTAAGTTATCTTTCGAAAAGTATTCGGTTGAAGAAGGTAGATTAGGAAAAGTACAGAAATTGGTTAAGGGGAAGGAGATGGAGTATTATAATATGCAGCAACGGATGAAAGAATTGTCGAAAGAGATCGAGGCGAAGGAGAAGCAGTTGAATGTGGTTAGGGGTAAGGTTGTGGAGCAATGGAAAGAGTTTGATTCGAGAGACGACGAAATTAGAGCTCAGCAAGCATTGATTGAGGAATACGACAGAGAGGTGCAGTCGAAAGAGCAGAAACTCGGTTTGATTGAGAAGGATTTGTGTGAGCTTGAGAAGTCAGTGGGGGAGTGGGACTGTAAAGTTGAATTGAAACAGTTGGAACTTAAAAGAAGTGTTCAGAAGGCCGAAAAACAATTTGAATCAAAATCTGAGGAGCTTAATTTGATTGGGAGGAGGGTCAATGATTGCCTCAATGATCTTCAGTTGAAAGAAAAGAAGTTGGATTCCCGTGAAAAGCATTTGGATT